CGAGTGTCCTGCCGTTGCCCGCTGCGGTTACGCATAAGTATAATGAAGTAAAATAAATACGGGCTTTAAGCGCTATAATCGTGATATATGCCGTCGGCAATTTACGACTTCTTCGCACATTTATAAATATATATCTGGTGAAATGGTGACAACAGCAAGCGCTGAGGCTGAGATACAGATACAGAAAACTGACTTTTGACGTGGCGATGCGATGCTTCTCGTTGGAGGTTTCTCCTGGCTGTTGCTGCTGCTGTTTGCTGTTGCTGTGATTTGGGTTAAGTGCTGCTCGTGCGCTTTTAAGTAGGTATGTGTTGGCACACTCACACAGATACCACACACACACACACACACACACACATGTACAATGTACATGTAGGTATGTCTATGTCCTTGCACACATTTGCCAAATAAAGCGTGTTAATGTTTTGGCAGCAATGGCGTGTTAACTGCCTTCCATTTCGCTCGCTTGCACAATGAAAGAATAAAAATAAAAACGCCAGCAAAAGCATAAAATAAATACATACAGCAGCAACAGCAGCAGCAGCAGCAGCAGCAACAGCTAAATGTAAAAAAATATTAAAAGTTGCAAATTCCCAGGAAAAAACCTGAGAGCAGAGCAGACAGACGCCACAGTATCTCTACGTTTGAGGGGCAGCGGGGGGGCGGCAAATGTTACTCATACGCAATGTGTAATTAAAATTACACTCTCTCTCATACAGTTACTCAAAACAGTATGTGCGAACATTTTAATTGACTTGTTATTCAGTCGCTGTTGTTGTTTAGTCTATTGAAAAACGGATAGAATAGGTGGGGTTTTAATCTTTTTAAGGGCTGCAAAACTACACAAAAAATTCAATTAAAGTTTGGCTTTTCAATAAATATAAAAGGAAGAAGAAGAACGTAATACCTGACAGCTTTGAAGAGTATCTAAATTAAATCTATGTCTAGGTATACATTACCCAGCTTAAAAACATATTTCTTTTCATCTGGCAACTGTCTATAAAGTTTTTAAGTGCAAACTTCTAGACAGTTTCTTGGGAAAAAGCAAGGAAAAAAAAGTTTAAAAGTAAACTGCCAGATAAAAGGCAATAATTAAGCTTTAAACTGATGCCAAAAGTGGAACGACAGACAGAATCTGATTACCAAAATTTATGGCTGTTACACCGCAGACACACTCAACTCTCTCTCTCTCTCTCTCTGTCTCTCTGCAGTATCTCTCTGGCTCTTTCTCTCTTTCTATAGAACTTACCGTATAGAATATCTCATTAAGGTGATAATTGTATGCATTGCGGACATAAGTGCGGATAATTTTATCTCGTCGCTCGCCCTCGAAACCATTTTGTATATCATGGGCACTGAAGCGCCAAATCGATTCGCCTGTGACGACGCCAAACAGGACATCATAGTGACCGCCCATATTTGCTGTGCCAGAGGCGCCACCGCCAAAGTAGCCGCCACTGAACGACGCGCCACTGCCACCGCCACCGCCAGACCCACCGTTCCCGCCGCCCGGGGATGTCTGGAAGCCAAAGTCCGCCGATGAACGCTTCGAGTTGCGGGCCATTAAATCATCGATATCGAGATTGGAATGTCCGGGTCGTATGACAACGCCATCAACCTAAATTGAAAGAAGGCGAATCGCAAGTAAATGACAAAAGTAGTGGCAAGGACAAAAGGAGGTGCTGCAAGGAGAGCAAAGTAAGTAATAAAGTCCATTGAAGCGGAGGACTCGAACAAAAAGAACGAACAGAGTACAGAGCACCGAAAAAAATGAATCCTTCTTTCAATTTTCGTTATCTATGATTTTACCGATGGTCCAAAGGATGTCAGAAAGTTGGGAGCCTGTATATCGGCACTGTAGAGATCCTCCAGCGGCACATCTCTCAGACAGTCGACTATTTGCTCATGATGTCGATTCAGGTCCTCGGGTATTGTGCAATTCACTTCCTTGGCCAGCTTGACGGCAAACAGCACGGGATCCTCGACCAGGGCCCATGAAGAGTAGGCCGAACCCGACATGAGGATGGCCCGATGGAAGAGCCCTCGCACCATCGTCGGCGATGTCATCAGATAGTTAATGCAGGCCGCCCCCGTGCCGTGTCCTGCCAGGGTTACGGCATTCGGATCGCCACCAAATTTCTGTATATTCTGCTGGATCCAATGGAGGGCTGCCATTTGATCCATTAGCCCATAGTTGGCGACCCTAGCATGGGCATGCGGATTGGGATTGGCATTGAGGAAACCTAAGGATGGAAATTACGTAAATGGGAGGTATTTAGGGATGGGTATTCTCGGGCTGTACCTAGTATTCCCAGTCGGTAGTTAAGTGTTACCACCACCACTTCGCCGTAGCTGGCAAGGATACTGCCGTCATAGGGATTGCCGCTGCTCCATTCGAAGGACTCGCCATGTATGAACACCATCACGGGTAGCTTTTTCTCATTGGCACCAGCTACAACAAAAATATGGAAAATATCATAAATACAAATCATCATTTAAGCAAAAAGTTTTGATATCTCAATTCCGCATTCCCCCCCCCGCGAACACTCAACACTCCCCGCACAAAAATACTCGCTCTCAGTGCGCCCTCATGAACCATTAAATGTTTCCGTTTGCGTGCAAAGCGGATTTTGCCATTGAAATCGCTTCAGATTAGTGGATTCACTTGGCCCTGGCCCCCTGGATTTTCGTCTGGGGGTGGCACTTACGATAAGATTTTTCCATTGCGCAGCACTGGCTACGTGAGCGCCACGCTTTGGCTTGCCCTTCTTTTTATTTTTTGCGTATAAATTATTGGCATTACGTGGAGTACGATTAATCTTAATTAATTGAATTTAAATAAGATTTATGAAGAGCTTAATGTACGCTTATACATATTTTTTCCACTGTTTCGCTCCCTGTTTGCCGGAGTTTTCTTTTGCTTACCATTCACCGGGGAAAAGACATTCAGGTAGAGGCAATCCTCGGACTGGTTCTCCAGAAACGGCAGCAATCTCCTCAAGTACTCCAGACGGCCCTTGGGCATCTTCTCCAGGGCCGCCGTCTCGTTCTGTATATTGGGCAAACGCTGCGGACAGACGGGACTGTACTTATCCGAGATGCGAATGCCATCCCAGGGCGCCGGTGCACGCGTGGGACTGAATCTGGATTATGGATTATGACAGTGCATTGGACTCATAGAAAGGTGTGTATTTGTTACGAACCGATTTTGCTTGGTGGGTGGCGTGGCATATGGCACTCCGAGGAACACCTCCACAGATCGCAGAAATCGAAAGCTATCCAATGGCAGTATCAGGCCATGCAGTCGACCATATCGTGTCTGCACTATGCGATGCCCCAGACGGGCATTCTTGTAGATGTCCGATGTGGAGGCCTCGACATTGGGCAGGCCTATAAGACCGATAAGACCGATAAGGATGCCCGGCAGCAGCAGTAGCCGCAGCAAAAGCAACAGCTGGCTTTCCCCCATCCTCGTGGCAGTGCTTTTGCTTTTTTTTCGGGCAATTTAATTGAATTCTGTTCTCCACCTTCTCCCCTAAATCGATGTGGCTCTGGATGGCAGGTAATTCTTCCTGATCATTTACACTATCTATCGGCTACGATGTCTCGAATTTCCAGCTGAACGGCTTTCATTTTGATCTGGAAATAAAGAGAGAAACGTAAAAGATGGGTTATAGCTTATGACAGGATTTTTATTTCAGAGTAAGGATGATTAACACGTTTATTGCAAGTAAAAGAAGTCTTAATGTCGCAAAAGGAACAAAAAGAACGATAAAAAAGAAGTCGAAGGAATTCGGCAGCGACTTTCGCTTACTTTACTTAAAAATTCGTACCTTTGTTATTCTTTGGACAATTTTCATGATTAGTAGCTTGTTTTATTGAAAAATAATACCACTAAAGAACTACATTCTAAAAAAAAATCTAAAAATACTAAAACAAATTTTAAAAGAATTACAAAGTTTAAGGAACGTAAAAAATGGTAGAAAACTTTAACTTTGTTTTGATATACCTTTATGTATAACCTTTGTATGAACACAAATCAAAAATTATATGAAAGGTCATACATTTATCTGTTTAATCCCTAAAGTTTTTGGATATTGGCACAGTAGTTGGCAAGTAAAAAAATTATAAAAGTGCGCGAAATAACCAAGTCGCAGCTTTTTTAATTTTTAAAAAAGGTTTTTGTGGGTTATTTAAAATTGTACGTATAGGGATGTAGTCTATTCTACAAAGCCTATCATCTAATTGTATGTCTTGTGCTAAGTACTTTCCAAAAAAGTATTTCTCTTAAGATCTTTACTTTGAAAAGAGTTACTCGAAAAAATATACCGAAAAAGAGGTTACTTCCTAAAATCCCAAAAACATGCGTTGTTCATATTTTAAGAGCTCGGAAAAAATCCAGAAATGTATAAATTTTCTCCTAAATTTTTCCGCTTTCACATTCGTGTATGGGAAAACATGTTAAATTGTTGATGAAAATTCTTTTTAGGGATAAAGTGTGATGGCCACAAGGTCGCAGCAAGAGCTGTGTCGCCACTCTCCTCATTTCGGTTTGCGTGTGCATTTGTATCTGTATCTGCACATTTGCATTTGCAGCTGTAGTTGCTTATGTGTGTGCCTGCCTCAAGGTTACTCTTTACTCATACTGCAATTGTGTCAGTGTGCAATTTCCATCTGTATCTGCGGGTGTTTGCGGCTCTACTCTTTTATTTTTTAAGCTTTTACATTGTACCTATTTTTATTTATTTTTTTCTGCCTGGAATTACTGTGTTGTGTGCGTTGCACCGACAATTCAAGAACGCGCCACAGCGAGTGGCAGCAATGCCAAAAGTAGCTCATGCTCTAAGGCTCTGGGGCTCTGCTAAGCGGATGGGAGGGGAAAATAATGAGGGAATGAACATCAAAGTTAACCAAGATACTTAATTCATACAGAAATGATTTCGGAATAGTACAGATAAATTTCAGAAACAACTAAGTACAAAACCCAGGTACAAATACAGATGACAAAAAGAAACTTTCTGGATATCCTGCGTAGAGTCCGTCTAAAGCTAACCACTACAAAGGTGATCGACGATGGGAAATTGAAGATTCACAACCCCAAATCGGAGAACCAATCCCCCAAAACCCACATCAAAAAAGGGAATGGACTTGCCACTCCACCACTTGAGTGGCTGTGGACCAAACGATCAAACCTCGATGTGGAATTGGACAGGGCCTCATCGGAGCCGGAACCGAAAGGGAATGAGGACTTCTGGCAGAACATCAAGCGGGTGCTGTTGATCTGCGGCGGTAAGGAGAAGCCTGGCGACATTGAGAACAAGTACATACTGGAGTCCACCGGCAAGTTGGTGGAGATAATGGAGGCCCAGCGGTTCGTTAAGGAAGTCTTTGCCGCCCTGGACGTGCCCATGGACTCGGCGACGGATATGGCAGATTCTTTGATTGGCGCCGATTACATGGGTCACCGATCCATGGGTATCCAACGGCTACCGTCGATTGCTGCCGACCTCCTCAATTCCACGGTGGCGGCACGTGCTGTGCCCGAGATTATTTCACAGAAGCCGGCTGTGGCTTTGGTGGATGGCTGCAATGCTCCCGGTCCGGTGGTGGGCAGGTTCTGCATGGATCTGGCGGTGCAGAAGGCTCGTAGGGTGGGCATTGGCTGGGTGGGTGCCCGACATTCCAACTGCATTGGCATGGCCTCGTGGTATACCTGGCGGGCCATGGATCAGCGCATGATTGGCATTTGCATGTCGAACGCAGCTCCTACTCTAGTGCCCCCCCGCGGCACAGAGGCGGTCCTTGGCGAAAATCCTATAGCCTGTGCTGCCTCTGGGGCAACGGAACAATTCGTCGCGGATTTCGGTATGTCCGCCTGTTCGGTGGCAGATCTGGAGCTGTCGTCCTGCAATGGCAAAGCGCCGAAGCTACCGAGGCTGGCGGCCCTGGGCTGTGACGGCAGAGAGACGACATCCACGCCTGAGGCACTGCGCTCCCAGCGCCTGCGGGCCTTTCAGCCAGAGTACAAGGGATTTGGCTTGGCTGCCATGGTGGACATTATGTGTGGCGTGATGACCGGCGCCGGCTATGCAACAAGGCTGCAAAAGCGGGGCTCATACAACCCGGAGAATGCCCCAGCGAATTTGGGCCAGGTGTACATTGCCATTGATCCGGTGCGATTCTGTGCCTCTTTTGAGGATCGTCTCATCGACTTTCATAGCCTGCTCCGTGGAGCCACGCCCTGCCAGAAGGATCAGCCACCTCTAGTGCCTGGCGACATGGAAATCTCGCATATGGCGGCAGTCGACGATCAGGGCGGTATCTTTTTGTCTCCCTGTACGTTGGGAGTTCTCAAGGAATTAGCGGACAAATTGGACATCAGGCCACTGCAGATGAAGCCAGTGTAGGAACGCGAATGTTTTCCCATTTTAAAGATACGTTTTTTTTTCGTTATTTTCTTGAAATCACATTTCAGGGAAAAAGTTTCAGCTTTTCTCTCGCCTCCTTTGCTCCTTCGCCCCACTAATTATGGAGCGTTAAAATATTCAAAAGTTCACTTCACAACAAGACCCCACGCAATAAAAAGAAAATTCTGCATAATTATTTCTGCTAATTTATGGACTCCTCCCCTCTCTTCTGCCGCCCTCAAACGCGTACCCTTTTTCGCAGTCGAGAGAAGTGCGAGAGCCAACAGCTGTGGCAGAAACTAAAAATAGCAGAAAAAAGCAAAGAAAATTGCCAGCCAGGGCCACCGATTCCCAGGTATGTATTTGTTGGGTAATTGTGTGCGTGTCAGGAAAAGTATCTAAATCCAAATCGATATAGAAAAAGCGAAAGGAAAAGGCAGAAGCATCGTTGGCGGAATGATTAATTCGATTTCCTACGGCAGCCGTGGGGGCGTATGTGTAATAACGTGGAAACTTTTCTTATGACACACACAGCCCTCGGTCGGATTCTGCGGTGTAGATAAATTATGGGCCACATCTTATGATGTGACGAAACACCTGTGTCCCATTGCGGTGTTGTGCGGTGCTGTGGCACGTGACTGCTGCAAATAGAAGGCATTCGTAATCGCTTATTAGCTTTTGGCCAATTCCCAAAGTGAAAGTCTGAGATAAGCCCAGGATTTGATGTATACACTCGGGGAGGAAAATAATATTTGCTAGATTTTAAGATACATTTTGTGGCTTTTCTTTGAGTGTAGACGAGACTTGTTGTCTTGGCTTTCATTCATTCATTCCTTCACTCATTTATCTTCATTGTATTTGTGTTTGGCCAATAATCTGATTGATCTAGCGACAGTAAAGAAATCCATTGGTGGTTCTAGCACACGTCTAGGGACACTTTAATACCCATCAGTCAATTGCTGTATTTCTAAATATATTTCCACGACTAACAGTGGGCGAGAGCCCAGCTACAAAAAAGGAGCCGATGATCATATTTTAATAATTTATAACATTGTTCAGCTGCCCTCAAGGTGGATTTTATTATTTGAATGCTGCTTTTGTTGCTGGAATTTACCTTGTGGGAAAGTCACAGAATCGTTGGCCTTGGGGGCAGGTCCTGCGGGTAATGGTTGTTTTTTTTGTTGAATTTTATTTGTGTTTGTACCGCAGATCCTTTTGCTGCTAAGCTCGCGTATCCTTTTGCTTTTATTGTTGATGTTTTGTTATTTCCTTTTGCACACTGATACACTCACGCACACAGACACATTATGGATGTTGGGGGAAACCGTTTCGTTGCGCCCTCCTTTTGTTGAATTTTCACATAGATTTTCTTGTAACAACAAATGATTTTCATATCGCTTTTCATTTTTATTTATAAGATGATTTTTATTTTCACTTGTTCCAGGTTTTTCCACCGCTTTTGTTTGCTTTGTTTTCTTTGCGTTGAAATTTCATAATTTTTTCTTTTTGGAATTTTTGGGGTTTCATTTATATTTAAAATCGCCACATGGCTGCGTTTATTATTATTCTAATATGATTTGTTTGTGGTGCTTTCTACATAAATTTAAGTTTGTTTTTAACCTAGATTTTTCATTTGGTTTCGTGGGCGGGGGAGGGGCAATAGAGAGGTTATTATTTATTTATTCAAAAATTCATTCATTCTTGTTTTTCACCCACAAAAATGCGAATGCATTGATTCCAGATTTCTATTTGCATTTCTAGCATATTGCATTGGTATTTTTAGCCATGGAAAAACCTCTCCTAAAAAAATGCCACACCGAATCTATTTTAATGAAGCCCAAAAAAAAGAAAAGAAAGTAGGAACTGTGATTGGATTTGGCCTCGTTTTTTGTGGATTTGATGGCTTTAACAGGTGAAATCTCTGTTGGTTCAATGACGTTTATCTTTTTATACTTTTTCGTTGGGCAAATATGAAGCATAGTGTAAATATTTAATATTCTTGATGAGAAAACCCAATTGAATGTGAACATATTGATGGGCTTTTAAATTTGTGAGAGCTATTAGGGAAATTATTAAAGAGGGATGAACAAAATGAGTTAAAACTATGAAAGTACCAAAAGTGTTGCAAGCATTAAATATGGAAATAAATATGAATTATGCGAAAAAAGTTCAACAATAAAAGACAGAAAGCAATCGGGAAATATATGATACCAGCCAAAATAAGTTGCGGAAATGTATATTGTCCAAAGGGGAAAAAGTTACGAGAACTTAAAGAAAAGTTAACGAAACCATAAAAGGTTGAGCACCAAAATATATGACCTTAAAAAAATCAGAAAGAAGACTCTGGGGACTCCAGGAGAGTCGTTGGTAGACCCGGAACAATCGAATGGGAATTAACGAGATTCGACTGTATAACCATAAGATATTTTAAGGAATCAGAAGAAGCCTTGAAAGAAAATCCACAAATTTATATCAAAAATCTTTAAGTAATCTTGAAAAAGTTACACCCATGGTAATTATAATACATATAAATGCAAACCTTAACACATTCGATCTGATCTGATTACAAATTTCAATGTCCTGTAAGTTTCAGGTTGAACTGGAACCTTTTTTGCCTGATTTTTGGGGCTATGGGGCTCTAATTATGCCATTCACGACGATTAAACTTACAAGAGTCTAATTGCATTCCGGGACATGCAATGCTAGGCCCCACCAGGGCCCCCCCTTCCCCCAGACCCTTAAAAGCCATGCAATGGCGAGCGTCAATGACCGTTAAGTGGAATGTGAGGGACTCCATTTTTATACCCAGTACTCGAAGAGTTTATTTTCGTTCCAGCATATATTTTTTGGCAACAAAATAAACGCGTAAATATACCAAAAATAAATAAATAAAAAAAAGAGCAAGAGAATATGTAAGAAAAAAGGGAAGCAAAATGCCGCAGGGCAGCAGACAAAAGACGATGGATGCTGACGGAGGACACGAGACGACATACAAGAGCAGCAAAAGGATGAGGATGTGGATGATGACGCGGCCTTATAACGGATTGTTAAGTTATGGCAGGCACACACACACATACACACACCAGCAGATACACAGAGAGATAGATGGTATCTGTGTGTGGTTTATAGATAAAAACGAGGCAACTTTTCGGCCACCAAACACTTTAGCAATTGCTCACATTTACTTCTTGTGTTGATTTCTGCTTCGCTTGCCGCTCGCAGACACACACACGCGGATAATGGCACCCACGCACACACGTAAGCACGCACAGGCACACACAAAGACAGACACACCGGATAGAGAACGGAAGGGAAACTGAAGCTAGAACTGTGACCACGTGCACGGTGTAATTTTTTTCGTTGTGCCTGAACGCGTCGCTTGTGTCCTTAACGCCCGAATGTATTCCAACGACTGAAGACTGCTGTCGTTCGCCGTCGAGGCTCCGAGACTTCATCGTCGTCCTTCCGACAATGTGGGTTAAGCTCCAAAAGTTACAGAGCGAGAGAACGAAACATCGAGAGAGAGCAAGTCCTGCCTGGAAGTGGAATGTAAGCTCTCGCTCTTTGAATCTCTTTCAATCAGCTGTTTCGGGGGCATTCGTTTTTCATGTTCTGCGGCAAGCAACAAAAAGAAATTAAGTCAATTTGGTGCCTGCTCTTCTATTTTTTTTTTGTTATTGTTTATCCGCTCAATGCCGTCCTTCCCCCTCAGTAGATCTGTTGGTTTTCGTGCTTTGATTTTTCGTTTTCTACGAATTTTATGCCTTTGTTATTACGGCATGCAGGGCGGGCAGGGCAACAGCTCCACTCGGCTTTTATTGAGGCAGGTAATGGTTGTGTTTCACAGAGAGACCTCACTTTCCATATTGCGAATGGCTTTTACGAAGAAATATTGCAGGTTTTTTTTAATATATTATACAAAATTATGCTTTTAAAACTATTTCCAAAGATAAAAACCCGTTATTTATGTTCCTTATTCAAGTTTTCAAAAGTTTTCTGGCTTCTTTAAACTGAAAAAAATGTGTGCAAACAAGAAGAAAGAAAACAATGAAATATACTTTGTAGCATTACCACCCTCCCCCCCCAATTCCATGGGCGACACTGATAACTTTCAGTCCCCTCAAATCACACACATGTCAGCAGATACAGATACAGCTACAATGCTAACAAGACAGAATCAGCAGCAGACAACAGTATCCAGTATCCAGCATCCAGCTTACAGCAGCTCCTTCTTTGTCACTGTCCTCCCCATCTCGCCCATCTCGCCCATCTCACCCTTGAGTCCTGAGTGAGCGCAACAATGACAACTTCAATGAATGGCGACAAATCAGTTGGCGGCTAAATGATGCCATGAGGCAAACGTGCGTGAGAACTGACCGCAGTTGAAAAATCCATAAGGAAGGAAGAGTGGAGGCGGCCAGAGTCCTGCCAAAGGAAATACAATAATTGAAAGCGAAAAAATGTTGGAAAAACACAAGTGGAAATAATTCTGTGGCATAAATCAAGGCAGCCGCCAACTTATTACAGTAATTTCATGATAAATGTCCGATAAATAAATGTATAAATATAAGTCGCACAGAGGATACACAGGGGCTCGAAGGATGCACACTAGGAGTAAGGATAATGAAGCAGCTGCTGAGATCCTGCTGAGTCGAGGCCCACGCTGCGTATGCGTGATGTCTGGATGTTTGATGTCTCATGTCTCTTGTCTGATTGGATTAACGCGAAAGGTTAATGCACTCTCTTACTCTTGAAATCTCTCTCTTTCTATCTGGGAGCCTGTTTTAAGGCATAAATATTCAAAAATAACAAAGGAACAATTTATATACATATTTTTCATTGCATGGTTGGGCTTTCCAACCCACACAAATGCACACACACACATAAATCAAATTATTTTCTATTTAATTTTGGGATTTCCTCCTCGTCCCTTCCATTGACAAAAACCAAAAGCCGTGAAGCTTAGTTCTCTCTCGTTTTTGCTGATATGTTGAGCCATGCAGCCCCGCCATGGACATGTGCCATGATTATGTTCTATGTCTCTCTCCGTGTATGTTTGAGTCCTTGCTACACATGTACTGTGCGTAGGCGTGTGGTGCCGGCGTGGTCTCTGTTAAATTTATTGGCTTATATAAGCAGAGCTTCTGGATTTTAATCGCGAATCTTTCCGCTTGACAGACATTTATTTTGGCG